TCTTTCAGAGCTTTGTATTTGAACAAGAGTTTATTCAAATCTGTAAACAGAATATGAGAATGATTTATTGCTGATTTTGAGTGGTCAAATTATTTTTAGTGTCCATGGGCTTTGCAAGGGGAGTTTGTATATCAGAACTCTATCAGTATGTTCAGACAACTTTTGTTATAATTAATTTTTTTCAAGGCTTTTCTCTATCTTTTTTCCAGGAATCCCAAGATGATTCAGCACTTCTGTGGCTGGATGAAATACAAAAAGGAATCAGTGATGCCAATAGCAATATAAAAGAAGCAGAATTCTGTAAGCATTAACTTGCATCTGTATTGCTCTTGGTTTTCTTAGTCTTGAAAACATGAAATTGGTGATCTACAGGGAAGTGTCAGCCCTTTAAATACATCAAAAGAAATGAACACATATTCTTTGTCTTACTGAAATTAGGATAACTTAAATGTCCAGGGGTGGTGGTGTTTTTGTCTAAAGTGGTAATCCTTAAAGGTTGGCTAATAATTTAGTGGATTTGGCTGTAAAAGTTACCGATATGACCAAGATTTCTCATGTCAGTGTGTTTTCACAAAGGTGGCGCAACAGAAGGAAATGTGAATGGGAAAAGATATACTGTTTGAAATTTTATTTTGCTTATATAAGACTGAAATCCCGCTACATGCTGTAAGAGCAAATTCTTAAATGTTTACTACTTTGCTTATTCTTATTTCACTATAATGCCTTTTATTAGGTGCTAACAAGTGAAAATTAAGAACGCATTACTTTTAAGACAGTATAAGAAACCACATGGGCTTTTTGGAAAAGCGCATGCTGTTCCAATCTGTAAAGAGGAGGAAACCTATAGGAAAAATGTTGAGGCATATCCTGTCTGAGCATTGTTTACTGGGTGTACTCAACACCTTCTGTGAAAGTTTGGAACTAATACAATTTTAGAAAAATATCCATAACATGTAACTTGCCACTGAGATTATTACCAGTGTAGAAACAAGCATGGCTGGGTGTATGGGGCACACTGGAGAGCATGCTGATGTCCCTACATGTTGCTGCCTGGGGCCAGCACAGATGAACTAAGACTGATAGCTTGGGATTCAGTATTGGTTCACCTTCTGCTTGAGCTGGCTTTGGGTGAGTCAGTGTCGCCTTCTTCTGCACCCTAAGAGTTTGTGAATACAACTGCTGAACTCGGTGCATCAGCCTTCATTAGTGGAGTGGGGCAGCCTGTTTACTTACAGGCAGGCTGTGTTGGTAGTTAGTGCTTTGGAAGTTGTGGGTGGAAGCAAAGACACACATCTAGCTATTACGAAATCTTCCATCCCTACTACAGAAACACTGAATGTAGTGCTACTGTTACTTTAGAATTGATTTAATAAGGTCCTCGTGTAACCAGCCAGATATACTGATTAGTGGAGTGGGGCAGCCTGTTTACTTACAGGCAGGCTGTGTTGGTAGTTAGTGCTTTGGAAGTTGTGGGTGGAAGCAAAGACACACATCTAGCTATTACGAAATCTTCCATCCCTACTACAGAAACACTGAATGTAGTGCTACTGTTACTTTAGAATTGATTTAATAAGGTCCTCGTGTAACCAGCCAGATATACTGAAGACACTTGAAGTAGTGTTGTAGGTCACGTATCTGTAGTGAAAAGCACCTGGCCTATGTTTTCCGAGATGGGGTCAGACACAGGTACGTTGTCCCAGCCCCAGCTGTACTTAGGAGTACTGATACCTCCTTTTGTGGACAAAAATATCTTTTCCTCCACGCCACCCAGAGGCATGAGGAAGCACCTGAGCACAGAGAAGGAAATGCATAGCTTAAACAGATGTAAGTTGAAGCTAAAGAGCAACTTAAAAACATCCTCATTTGTGTCCACTGGTGTAAAAGCATCAAGAATGTATTTCATAAATGGCTTGCAGAAATCAGCACAGCATTATCCATATATCGGTACCATGTGATGTTGCTAAAGGTAAGCCACCACTACATCTACTGGTTACTTGTAAAATCTTTTCATTTAGTGTGGCACCATGTTTGTAGTAAATGCACAGCTTTTCATAATGAAGTATGATCAGTAGAACTGTTTTAACAAGTCACTTGTGGAAATAATTACACATTGTACTCTGACCTCTGGGTTGAAAGGAAGCAGTGTCAGCACAGCACATTATTCAGAAGTGCTCTAGGATTTTGCAGCTAAAAATTGACATTTAAAATTTCCCCATGGCATAGAACCTGATACTTCCTGTAACAAACACATCCTCTCTCAGGAAGTTAGCATGTTGTGTTCACGTAGTCTAAACTTAGATCAAAACAAATGTTAATTTCCAAGTTGTGATCAAGCAGAACTATCTCGGAGTCTATTTTTGAAAGGCAAACAGCTACCCACCTCCCACTCAAGATTAATTTTTTTTCAGTCAGAACGAAGTGTGTTTTTCAAATTCCTGATGTAATGTTAATGAAATAAGCATCAAAATAAGAGAAGGTACTGGTGGCTGTACAGAAACTATTTTGAACCCTTCCAAAGTAATTTTTACTCCTTTATAGAAATACTAAATAATATTAAAATTGCGAAAGGCTTTTACAAACTGTCTTCCCTGTCAGTAAAGGACTCTGTGTTTAGTATCTTCATTTAGGAAGAAACATTCAGTAAATGCTGGTGTGCTTCCTAATTATTTGTGGTGTTTGCTCTACAGTTTGCATCATCTTACTTCACTTCTTGAATAATTTCAACCATTGTACCCCTTATCCAAAAAGAGGTTGGCCATATATCAGCTGTATGGCTTTCAAGAATAGACACCAATATCAACTTTGGCATGTATAGGAAGAGTTTATCTGTCAAAGCTGGATCTGTCCTGAGAGTCCATGTTATAGGAAAATGCTGATCTTTGGCCCTGTTGAGAGTTCAGGCTTATCACAACAGACAGCTGCATCTTTGTATATCTTAGCTCTTTGAAGGGAGGATGGGTGTGGAAAAGAACTCTTCACAGCGTTGATCTGGTCCAGACATCCCAATTGCTGCAGGAGCAGAGTGGCCCCCATAGTTCTCCTGCAGCTGGATATAGTTGAGCTCGCTTTAGCTTATAATTTTACAGGTCTTGTAACTTGGCCAAACACATGGCCCTTATTTAGAGCAACAGTCATAGTGTTAGTTGTTAACACTTCAGTGGGAAGGAATAATTTCTATAGAATTGGTGGTTTTCCGTACTAAGTATTTTTCTTACCTTTTCATTCTAAAACAAAGGAATAATTAGTTAAAAGACAAAAAGAAAAAGCCAGGCAGTAAGGGACCTACATAAACAACTACTAGCTAGACTGTGTGCTCTTTGTCTCTGTTACAATTTCCAGCACCCAACTATAGGATGAAGAGGAGGGGAAAAAAAGCATTCAGATACTGGTGACCAGCGTTGCCAGGGCACGTAGGACTGTGTATGAGTAGGGCTGAGCGCCCAGAGCCACCTGGGCCAGCAGGGGCAAGATGGTAACATGTGGCTTCCCAGTTTTTCCAGCTTCCTTGCTCTTAAGACCAAATGCCTGGGCAGCGTGATACCACAACTGTGGCACAAAGTCATCGCCAGTCTTGTGGACAGCACTCTTGTGCTTGGTACACATCTGTTTGTTTCAAAACACAGAATAGCAGGATGCTATCTGGTTGAATTCCAGACGCTGGTGGTGTGGTATTGTTTCTCAGTTGGCTGCCAGTACATTTGGAGATTGACCTGTTGCTGTCCAGCCAAAGGTACCCATTCCACTTCAGTCTAACCACAAAGAACTGTTTTTCTTGCTGAATTTCTCTCCTGCCAGCTCAGTCTCACACAGTGCCTCCTACATGGAGGCTGTTGACACTGAGCAACTTTTTGGTCAGCTCTGGCTGGAAAAAAATGTCTAGAGGCAGAGCACTGAGAGTGGGGAGGGATCTTTTTTGTATCAATCTGGATATACACAAGGTAGCGTTTGGTGTTGCAGTGGGAAGGGCAGCTGTGGGATGCCAAGGTAGCCAGATTTACTTGAGCCAGTATCTAATGTGTATGTTCTAGCCATATATGTCTATTCATCTGTTCCTCTGTGCATGGATCTTGAATTTAGATGTGAAAGAACAGCATTAAAGACCAGAGCAGCAGTTTTGAAAGCAGCATATACCTCTAGTGTGTAAGGCACTTTCAAATGGCATGTGCTGCTGCGTCTGTCAGGTGTGATGGTATCAGCTCCTCCAGTGATGTTGTGATGTGCACAAAGCAAAGGACACTTAAGAAGTCCTGAATCAGAGTATGGGTAACTTCCTATCACCTCAAAGTTTGAACACGCCTCACAGTATCACTTATGTGCCCCAGAAGCAATAGCTGTGTCTCTGTCAAACTCAAGGGTGTGAACTTGCTGCATAAGCTTTAGACAGGCTCCCGGAGGATGAGGACAAGAAAGGTTCACTTCAGGATCCCAGCTAGGATCCTGTTAGTGTTGCAAGACTTTGCTCAAGGCAATCTTTTTTTCTTCCTATTTTGCACAGTAAAAATGAATGTTAGGTTTTACAGCTTGTAACCAAATGACTTCATGCATGTCTAGAAGGCTCCCAAATGATCTGCTTGATGGCCTGTCTGCTAGGTCAGGCTGAGCGGGAGCGCACCTACTATCCCTAGCCTGGTGTTACTTGGTGTGGCACTTGATGGGAGCAGCTCTGCCTTCAGACTGCTCTCATGCTGCAGCTGCATCCCAGCCGGGGTGGAGTGCATGCTTCCTAACAGGCTTGCTGTTCTCTGAAATACTTGTCCTTACAAGCATGAAGGAAGCTGCAAATGAGTGAAGCACTGAATTGCTGTGTATGTCATGCTGTCTGTGTGTGCCAGCTTTAGAAGTCTATTATTAAAGTTGCTGGAGGCTAGAGCTGTGGGTACGTAGAATATAAACCACTTAAAATTTTTATGTCATTATTTTACCCTAGTGGCTGTTGGAACATCAATAATTAACAAGAGCTTGGAGAAGGGCAATTCACAGCCAATCTTGATGATACTGCAGTCCAAATTTGGATTACGAGTTGTTCCAGAGTGTGCTGAAACCTACTTTAGGAACCTCTCAGAAGCCAAGAAGCTGAAAACTAGAGAAGGTAAAAATGCTTCTGAATAGGACAGTTCCATATCTCCGTATCAGTGAGGCAACTGGAAAACTAGCACAGAAGAGGTTTACCTAAAAGTGCTGTAAACTGAAGAGTGCAGCTGCTGGCTCTTGAAATCTTTTGATTTATACTTACCCAAGCACTTTTTACATGATAGTGAACTGTTGCACACAGTGCATGCTGAGAAACAAGTCTAGCTAAGCCTCTCCAGAGTCTCAAACTAGTCTGAGTGAATTCGGGGCAGCTTGTCTGTGACTGTCAATAATAGACTAGTTCATCTTCTCAGTAATCGATGCTACTCCCTGATTTTCTTTTTCTCTGTTAGCAGATGCAGAGAAGGTTTAGACTGCCCACTTCAGTCTTATGGGTTACTGTCAAACATCAGGCCAGGCTTTGCCAGAGTGTCCATGGCCTGTTTATGGTCCCTTTGCATTGCTAGAGCAGCAGGTATCAGCAAAAGCTGGGGCTAGAATCTGCCCATAGCAAGATGATAGGATGTTATGTCATGTTAGAGCTGCAAGCTGGTCATAGTTAATGCAGCTGAGATTAGGTAACAATTACAAATAAAAAAGTTGCCATCAAGATACTACACTTTCTTCCAGTAGACAGGCATGTTTCATCATGCAGCATGAGTTCTAAGAGTGCGTTTTGCACAAATTACTTTATCAGTTTTACCTTGCGGCCTTTTGTCCATGAGGAAATGAGGCTTTTCCTACCTGTCAGGATACAGCTTTGTTTACCAAAGCACTAAAGAAGGCAATGACATGGATATAGGAAATGTCCAGTGTGAGCTAAGTGTCAGTAAGGCGCAGCACTCAGCCAGAAGACAGGAACATTTTTTTTTTTATAAACACAGTCTCAGTTCCACTTACATGAGTGATGGTGGAAGATCTTGGGCCTACAAGGAAGCTTGGTGGGGGGACTTTTTACAAGGGCCTGTAGTGACAGGACAAGGGGTAATGGGTTTAAATTGAAAGTGGGGAGGTTTAGATTGGATATCAGGAAGAAGTTCTTCCCAGCGAGGGTGGTGAGGCACTGGAACAGGTTGCCCAGAGATGATGTGGATGCCCCATCCCTGGATGTCTTCAAGGCCAGGCTGGATGAGGCTTTGAGCAACCTGGTGTAGTGGAAGGTGTCCCTGCCCATGGCAGGAGGGTTGGAACTAGATGGTCTTTAAGGTCCTTTCCAACCCAAACCATTCAGGACCAAGCACCAACTTGGCATGTTGGGGTTTGGAGAAACCAAAATGGTGGTAGATCCATACTAACCTCATAACTGTTTTGTTCTAGAAGAATAATTCTGATCGCAGAATCACTAAGGTTGGAAAAGACCAATAAGATCATCTAGTCTAACCATCAACCCAACACTACCAAGCGTTACTGATACATGTAGAAGGAAATTTTGAAAACTCTTATTACAAATGGGGCCAAGATATATAGAGACTTTGCATGTTAAATGGCCTCCTAGCAAATGTAGAGATGAAAAATGGGTAGGGAGAAACAGGACACAAATGTGTACTAACAGTATGTGTTGCATTTAGATTCTAATGAAAGTCCATGGATTAAACTTGTAATGAAAAACATATACAATTACTATTACAATGTGGAAACCGAGGAAGGTGCCTGTGTTGCCCCTGCAGGAGTTGTACCAAAATCATCATGGTTAACTGGTGAAGAAATCCAGGTAGGTGGCTGGAATGTTTGCTTTTATTGGAAATGCAGCATGAAAGTTTGAGAGAGAGGGAGAGTGGTAGCAAGACATGGCAATATCAATGCAAGAGGCTGTTCTGGGTGAGACTGAAGAGCGTATTAGTCTATTTTATGCTTCTGGCAATAGCAGCAACTTAAGTCTAAGCAGGCAATGACAGAACAGCCTCCTGTCTGATATTTGACCATGATTCAGGGACTCCCTAACCCAGGTTACAGCATCCTTTTAATGGCCAACCGCAGACACGATGGTAGGAAAGTCTGATTGATTTCATATCCTTTTATATTTTTTGGAGTTTAAACTGACCTATGACAAGGAATTTCATTATGTATTTGGGGGCAGGTGGAAGCATTGTTTTATTAAATGTAGTCATCTGACAGCATTCTCGTATCTCCACATTCAGTAGGATGAGTGTGATACCTATACTCTTGTTACTGTATAAGCATTGTGCTGGCATGAAATAGAACAAAGTAAAAAATAAATTGTGCAGAAGCTTATGTGATCTGTTTTGTTGCAGCACATCTACATTAGTTGTTTACTCTGCTGCACAAACAGCTGAAGTCATAGTGTAGGTACTTCTGAAGTTCTGACTGCAGCAATATGCGAGTGTGCTTCTCGAGAGAGAGCTCCCTGATTCAGTGAGTGCTCCTAGATGTCTGACTCCTACAAAAAAGTTTGCAAGTATTAAAAAGCATCACTATCTTAAAGTATAAAAAACCTCTGCATATCCAGCTGATTAACTGACCCTTGAAAGGAGATCAGTTACCCTTCATATAAAATTGAAGTGTTAGCAAAGTAGCTTTCCCTTGATACTGATTAAGATCTAGGGGTGAATCAGAGGGGTGTGGATAGGATGAGTATGCGCTGTACAGATGATGGAAAGAATAGAGTCCAAATTTCGGGTTGGTTTTGGCTTGAGGTTTTTTTGCTTTTAAATTACCTTTTTCTACGATTTCTTAACAGAGCATTGTTGGGCAAGTTACAGCAGATTACAATCGAGAGCAGCTGTGGCTTGCTAATGAAAACCTGATTGTTCAGCTGCAAGCCCAAGCAAGGGGATTCTTAATCAGAAAAAATTATCAGGAGAGAAAAGCATACCTCAGAAACCAGGAACCATCTGCCATCAAAATACAGGTATTGTACTAGAACAAGAACATAACCTGGCTTGGGCAACTTTCTGTATGTAATGGGTAATGTGGCTGATTACTGCCACTGATAAAATTCCCAAACAGGTCTGTCTTCCTGTCTTCATTAGCAGCAGCTGAAACTTCCACACTTACATGAGTTATTGTCCTCACTGGAATAATTGTTCTTTTAAATAACAAATCTCCAGTTTTAAAATAATGGATCATATCCACCTGCAGTCCAAATTACTTCCCTGAGAGAAGCTCAAAAATTCATACCCCTGGCTTTATTCTGAGGTGCTGAGGTTTTGCATGGTACGCCTAACTATACACAGTACAAGATTGGGAGATATCTTTTGCATATTGAAGCAAAAATTCCTTGGCAAAACATGACTTAAGAAATACATTCCTTTCTAGACTATACCCACTTGGAAGTGGTTTCCCTCTGCTCCATGAAGTCATAGCTGGGTAGGGAGTGGCAGCTGCCCTGGTATTCTCAGGGTAGTATATCTAGGGTGTCTTCAGTTTGCTGAACTCCAAAAGGAGTATAAAGGAAACTTTCTGCCGAGGGTGTGAACACTGACAAATGCATGTACACTGGTTTTGAAATACCCACCTCCTGTTAGAATCAATTTATTCCAGTCTTGAAAAACAATCAGTCATTCCCAAAATTATAGAAAATGTATAACCGCTTTTTTAATCTATTGTAACTTCATTTAACAATAATGATAAACACTTATACCACTAGTAGCTGTCAGTTGGATTGGCTTTTCATTTTATGGCATGGTAACTGAACCCAGCAAAGGACTGTATTGTTCTTTGAGGAATTCAGAATCTATAAACAGATTCAAAAATTTGAAGAAAGATAGGTAAAGCTATTCTCTGATTGGTTTCTGTGGGCATTAAAATAGAAATGGCTTATGAAAACACAAAAAGTAGAGGACAAGGCTGTTGTCACTGGTTGGATAGAGATGAAAGGCAATATATATTAAAGGCAGTGAGAGTAGCCTGTAGGCAGTGAGTGTTACCCTGTTGTTGAATTCCTTGCCAAGAGTTTGCTTCTCAGCTAGCAAAGGGAGAGCCAAGTGAGGGAACTGGGATGTTATCTGTGGCACAGGATGGTCGTGAGCGACTCTGGAAGACCACAGACTGTGAAGGAGACCAGGCCAAGAACAATGGAAGTTCAGCTAGGTAGAGGTCAGCTTTTGGATGTAATGGGCTGGCAGAGTCTTCCCCATGTGGGGTGAAGCCACTGACTGGGATGCCAAAGGATGAGGATGTATTGGTGATAAAAGTAAGGATAGCTTCAGAGGAGGAAAGGAAATAGCATTGGACAACAAAATGTTTGTACTGAGATCAGTCAAAATTGACATGAAGTGTATCAGGGACCCTTAAATATAGAGGCAAACTTATTTACGCCTTACGTACCTTTACTACAAGGGCAATTTTTCTCTATAGGATAAACACTGTTAATGATTTTAGTATATATGTAGTTTTTAATAAATAACAGTTTCTTACTAGTAATAATGGTCTGTGGGCTTTTCTAAAATAGGCTTTCTGGAAAGGATTCAAGCAAAGGAAAAGCTATGTTGACAGATTAAAGGTGTTTCAAGGCAACGTTGCTGCTATTGTTAAGGTAAGATCCCACTGTGTTTTGGGGCCTGAGTATGCTTCATCCCTTGGCTTTGCCCCCTACCACCTAAGAATCAGAAACTGGAGGGACTTGTGCTCCAGAAATTTGCATGGTGTTGAAAGTTGCTTAAATGACAAAAGCTTAATCTTGAAAGCTCTGTTTCTGACTTCTATCAGGCTTTATTGGACTTCAGTGGTTCATAATAGAGATTTTCTTATTGTTCCCTATCCACAATACTCAATTAGAAAAGATCTGAGCTGACAGTGTGTTATTTCATTAAAAGTTGTCAACTCTATCTGTCTGAAAAGCAATCACTTTTCTGAGATGCTAATGAGATAACTAGGTCATGAGTGGATCACAGATGGGATATTGATCTCCTCTCTCTCTGAACAGACTGGTTTACAATTGAGAGCCAAGATTTGAAGGTAAAAATGACTTCCAAAGATAATGCTACACATGGGTGATAGAGCCTTGAACTTAACTTGTTATTTTAGTCAAAGCCCATTAACCTGGTCACTGGACTGTAGGACTCCAGTGGCAGTCATCTATGGCCCCAAACACATGAGGACAGCACTCCTGCAGAGTAGGAATCTGTCAGAAGTGAGCTTAAAACACATGCGCAAAACAGTTGCGCAGTGTCTGTTAGGTTTTTCTTTAATTTTATTTCATTTTCAGATTCAATCATGGGTCAAAACGTGGCTAGCAAAGAGAGCTTACAGGAAACGGCTGCAATACTTCAAGGATCACGTAAGTCTTTTTTTCCCCCATTTTGAATGTGAAGCATTAAAATAGGGTAATATGACTGCACAGGCAGTTTTGGGAATCTCATAGAAGAGGGTGCAGGTTCTGCAGTGTGTTTCTGAGCAGAAGTGTGTCATAACTGCCTTCCTTTGCCTAATCTGGTCCCTTCCAGAACGATGAAATTGTGAAGATACAAGCATTTCTCAGAGCAAACAAAGCCAGGGAGGACTACAGAACACTAAGTAAGTGGTAGCAGTTGAATATTGTGTATTTGGGGAGAAGTATGTTACCATGTTCAGTCTCTTTTTTTTTTTTTTTTTTTAAAGTTTCACTTAGAATTTCTCTGTCACTTATTCCGCTTCAAAAGCATGTACAAGTGTTTGGGATCTGGTTTACAGATTACACTGTTTTGGATAGCTGTGCTTACACAGTATGACAAAAATACTGCTCTAGATGGCTTTTAATTCTATCTGCAGATCCAAAATTTTCTGCAGAGTGATCAGTTTCCTGAGAGCTTTAGAGGTGTGTTCAGTATTATGTCAACTAACAAACCTATTTACTTCAACCATAGTTGGTGCTGAAAATCCACCCTTGACTGTCCTGCGCAAATTTGCCTACCTCTTGGACCAAAGTGACTTAGACTTTCAAGAAGAACTGGAAGTAACAAGGTTAAGGGAAGAAGTGGTTACAAAAATTCGATCAAATCAACAGCTGGAGAAGGACTTGAACTTAATGGATATAAAGATTGGACTGCTGGTGAAAAACAGAATCACTCTTCAGGTCAGCAAGCTCTGTTTGGGCTCCTTTGGTAGCATGCACTCAGCCCTTCTGTGTATTGAAGGGCCTTAGGATTATACCATCACAGGGGGTTGGGGTTGGAAGGGACCTCTGGAAGCCATCTGGTCCAACCTCTCTGCTCAAGGAGGGCCACTCAGAGCAGGTTACCCCGGACAATATCCAGATGGCTATTGAATATCTTTGAGGGTGGAGAGTCAACAATGCCAGTGAGCAACCTGTGCCAGCACTTGGTCACCCTCAATTAGTTAAAATACTCCTGGTAAATTAAGCACTTTCTTTGTGTGTCTTGCCAAAATACCTTGTGCTACAAGTTACTCTATTCTGTCAGTTTGCTACCAAATGTCACTTTTTTCTTTTTTTTTTTTTTTTTTTGGCTACTTGTGGACAATAGTATTTGCTTTGCAGATTTTAAGCATATTTTCTGTGGTAGGATGAAATAGATTTCTGATCATATTCGAGAGCTTGTTCATTGTTAACTACATGATGGATGAGTGTTCACAAGATCATGTTTCCCAGATGGTCACTGTTGGCAAGCCATGCTAGTGACAAGATGAAGACATTCAAAAGACTGGCTAGTGAATAGAGCAGCACACTATATAAAGTTTCTAATAAGGGGTCTGGGACAAATACTGCATTTGGGATGGGAAAACGGTAATTTTTCAAATTTGCCTTTCTTGTGAATATATAACCTAGATTTTTGATCATCTGTCTGCAGGATGTGGTACTACACAATAAGAAACTGAACAAAAAGAGCAAAAGCCAGCTGGAAGAGATGGTTATGGTTGACAAACAGGGTATCAAAGGTTTGAGTAAAGAGAGGAGAAAAAAACTAGAGGCTTATCAACATTTATTCTACCTTTTACAGGTAAATCTTAAGTTAAAAATTAACATGGCAGCAAATTGCTAAAGGAAGAACTAAAAATATACTGCTTGCTTTGTTTTAGTGATTATAGTAGTAATTATGAAAAGATTTCCAGAGTAGTATGTAGACTGCTGCAAATACCGTGATCAACTTCTAATATTTCCTGTAGCTGAGAAAATGCATTGTCTTTTAAGAGTGCAAGAAATATAGCTGTTTTCCTCTTGAGAATAACCTCAGTCTGTACTGAAGCCAGAGAAATGTTTTCCTTCATATATCTTTCCGTGTTTGTAAATTACTGTCACTATTACTGTGCCTTCTATGTGATGGAGAGGAAGTTGCCTGCTATGCAGCTGACAGCATATAATGCATCTGTTCTTGTGCTCTTTCTATCTCATCTTAGTGAAGCTTTTACAGAACAATTTTAGGTCTTCCCAGGGCAGATGCTCTCTAATGCTTCAGTGGACATGTAGTATGCAATGGCTTCTTGGTAGATAGCCATTGTCATTTGGTTGAATGTCATTGTCATCAGATACATAGACCTGATGCACAGAGACTGATGTTAGACTTAGAAGACTATGGATGAAATCCTTTCTGGTGCTACTCAAAGATATCTAATTGTGCAGTATTCAGTGCTGCTTATGCATTAGGATTTGGAAAAGAAGTAAAGCCAGTGTGGAAAATTGACATGGGAATCAACATAAATGCTTTTGGCATTAACAGAAACGTAGAGAGTGCTGCCCCCACAAGTGGGGGTAGTTTGTCCTGGACAATAGTATTTTTGTCATTTGTTTGTTTTGTAGACTAATCCCACGTATCTGGCAAAGCTGATTTTCCAGATGCCACAAAATAAATCAACCAAGTTTATGGATACGGTCATCTTTACTCTATATAACTATGCCTCCAATCAACGAGAAGAATATCTGCTTCTCAAACTCTTCAAAACTGCTCTAGAAGAAGAGATAAAGTATGTTAATTCACAACAAAATTTCAGTTAATTTGTGTTGGAGACAGTTCAATGAATACTTCATACCTAAAAGAATGTGATGGTTAATCTTTAAACTGCCATAAAATTGTATACAGATTTTTGTTACTAGAGAAATTTTTCACTGTAACTTACTCATTAACCAAAGATATTTTCAATTAAAAAAAAAAATATTCTATGGTGGACAATACTTTTGTATGAAAAAAATACGCTGAGGTTCTTGGTTTTGTTCTTGAGTATTTAAGGGTGGAGAAACTCTTTCCTTTCTCTGTGTAAATGTGTGTTCTCAGTGGACAGTGGTGGCTTATCCTGAACAATTAAAAACCTATTTTATGCCCTTAACAGGTATTTGCTGAACAGGGCCTGAATCAGGTGCATATTAGCTGCCACTAACTATGCTATGTTCCAGGGACCTTATTATAACACACATAGATTCGCATAGTAGTTTCTATAATCTTGTTTTTGTATGAAAGCCTAAGAAATAGACTATATAAACATGCTTCGACATAGGAATAGGGTAACTTTAAAAGTGTGGATTTTGAAAATGTGTATAACTGCATCCATAAGCCAGATCTGAAAAACCTTCTGTTCTTGATACAGCTCTAAGGTAGACCAGATACAGGATATCGTTACTGGAAACCCCACCGTCATTAAGATGGTTGTCAGCTTCAATCGAGGTGCACGTGGACAGAACACCCTGCGCCAGCTCCTGGCCCCAGTAGTGAAGGAGATCATGGAGGACAAGACCCTCATAATCAACACTAGTCCTGTCGATGTGTACAAGTCGTGGGTAAATCAGCTAGAAATGCAGACTGGTGAGGCCAGGTGAGTAAGAAAGCTGGACATATTGTACCATTTAAAAACTTGAGGGATCCCTCAGTTCTGCTCTCCTTTTCCTTCTCTGACAAATGACACTTGTGCCCATTCATCCCTTCCCCATCTTCCTGCAGTACGATGAGAGGTTTTGGGGACAGGTGCCTGACACCTGTTATGCATGACAAAGGAGGATCACTTTCCTGCTCATGAACTTCAAAAGTCAATTACTTATATGTTCCCATGGAAGAATTTATAGCCTTTTTGCCAGGTTTTGTAACAGAATGGCATTAGTGTCCCAGCCTTTTGAGAAGCTATGCTGGGACTGGGGTGTGGAGATGCATGCCTTAAATTAGGATTCCCCTTTTGTAATTAAGGGAAGGTACATGATGATGTGTCCACCCTCACTTGAACTGCTCCCCTCCAAAAAAAAGGAAGCTAATGCATCTGAGTCCTTTGTTACTTAGCCAACTTCAACTATATTTGTCTGACCTTTCTTTCTGTTCACTGATGGCCCTTATGAAGAAAAAAACAATTTAAAAGTATTTTATTCTCAAATATATTTAGCCTGGTTTAATATCTCTTTGCTTTGCAGCAAATTGCCGTACGATGTAACCACAGAACAAGCGCTAACACACACAGAAGTGGTCAATAAACTGGAATCATCGATTCAGAGTCTGCGAGCAGTAACTGACAAAGTTCTCGCATCCATATTCTCTTCTCTCAATATGATGCCGTAAGTGCTAAGTTAAGACTGTACAAGCGGCAGTTTGTGCGCACAGTGAAGCTTCCCTTGAAACTGAGCCATGGAGATGCTTTTAAATTACATGACTTGTGATATGTGTCTGTCGAATGACTTCCCCAGCAGAGGGAGTGTTTTCTCCACTTGTCTTGTTCTCCACTCTGCTTTAACAGCCTTGTGAAAGTCTCCCTATACTCAAAATCTTTGTTTTCCATTATCATCTCAGCTTGTGTTTTAAGTGGCTGGGGAAAAAGCCAGTAACTGGGCTGACTAGAATGATTGTTTTATCTCATTTAAGTCTTTCCAATATTTTCTCTTTTCATCTGTTCTGCATCTAGTTATGGAATGAGATATATAGCCAAAGTTCTGAAGAGCTCTCTCCATGAGAAATTCCCAGATGCAACAGAAGAGGAACTATTAAAGGTACTATTAAAGGGCAGCAGCATGTTCATTTAATGCTGAAGGGGGCTTTTGATGACTTCTTGCTTTTTATTTTATTCTAAGGAACTGAGAACACCAGCATTTACAGAAAGAGTTTGTCGCTTCTTAGGTTATAGCGGAAGGGGAGAAGGGAACTCTTGCCACAAGCTAGCTGTCTTAATCTGAGTGCTCAGCAATCCTTATGGAAGACAGTGCTAAACATGTTTCGGATAGTAACTGTTCTTAGAGGGTTAGAGTTCATCTGAATCACCTTGAATTTTTTTTTCAGGAATCCTTACATGAAGAATAGTATGTTGTACTCCCCCACAAAGCTGTTAACGTATTAAAAAAGTTTGCATTATAAATACAACGAGGAAGGACTCTAAAAACTAATTGCAAGTAGATCTTCAAATAAATGTTAATGTAAGATGCTTGTAAAAGTTGTAGGAATTTGTACAGATTGAAAACTAAAGTTTAAGTGACAAGCATGATACTGGCACACCGGCCATCACTAATCTAACACAGCCATGGTGCCTCTTCAGAGGGCTTAGGGGAGTTGCTCCCTGAGTCTTCTAGTCAGCTAGGAGACCGACAGCTCTATCAAATTAAAACTATTTGCAGTACAATAGATGTTTTCATTAGTGTTCAATGAAATGAAATTAATACCTTGTAATTTTAGAACCAATAGGACTTCCCTATAATTTTTCAAAAAGACACTGTTCAGTGTTTAAAAAAAAGAATTTATATATCTTGGTGCCTAGAGGACTTCAAACTCCTCCGCTGAAAAACTAATTCTGCTTTTGTGTTTTAACAATGCATTGGAAATCCTTGCAAGCAGCATTTCTGGGGTACTTTTATCACTCCAGCAATATAGATTAAGGTATTGCTCAACTTATACTTCATTTGCTACTTAAGTTTTTTCATAAGGCACCCAAGTGAAATCCCTTAAATGTGTAAATTGGAAATTCTGCAGGTGAATACACATAAGATGAGGCAAATTGCAGAAAGTCCTGCCCGTTTCTGAGATAAGGAATGATATGAAGCCATCATCTGCACAATGCAAGTTACTGTAACATCACTATAGAAATTGCAGTTTGGAAAATCTGTTCTCTAGTCCTTTATGGCTGCGTGCAGTCTTCTTGAGAAACAATGGGCCTTCAAAGATGATCTAGTTTCACCCCTCCCACCATAGGCAGGGACACCTTCCACTAGACCAGGTTGCTCAAAGCCTCATCCAGCCTGGCCTTGAACACTTCCAGGGATGGGGCATCCACAGCTTCTCTGGGCAACCTGTGCCAGTGCTTTACCACCCTCTCCAGGAAGAGTTTATTCCTGATATCTAATCTAAATCTATCCTCTTGCACTTTAAAGCCTTTAACACTTGTCCTACCACTACAGGCCCTTGTAAAATGCCCAGCTTTCACAGAGATTTTGTAAGAGGTGGATCTTGTAAAAGACCAGTCTTCCAGTTAAACACATAGGTAACATGTATGTATCAGGAACCAATGCTAGAGGACGCTCTATGGTCTACTTCAGAAGTGGAAATCATTGATTATGTTTTGTAAAATGTAATTACTGTATGAATTCTTTTTGTTCAGATTGTTGGCAACCTCCTGTACTATCGCTACATGAACCCTGCCATTGTTGCTCCTGATGGCTTTGATATAATTGATATGACAGCGGGCGGCCAGATACACCCTGACCAGAGGAGGAACCTAGGCTGTGTGGCAAAAGTCCTTCAGCACGCTGCTTCTAACAAACTCTTTGAAGGCGAGAGCGAACATCTGTCATCTATGAACGCTTACCTCTCACAGACATACCAGAAGTTCAGGTCTGTAAAGCCCTCGCAAATACGTACACAGTAAGAGCTCGCCGCTAGGATGAGTAAGGCAGGTGGACTCCTTATTTGTAGGAATTCCCCGCTCAGAGTTTAAAAAGTTGAGTGTTCTGCTATAGAGAAATTCTCATTGCTGAGGAAGTTGAAGCAGGAGTAACAGGTTTTATTTCTACTTGAACATTACTTTGAGAACTGATCAACTCTGCCGTCTTGGTTGCAGTAAGGCTTCTTTACTGCAAACACAGATTGCGAGGGCGATGTGGGGTCATTCGTTATCCAGGAGAAATAATAATTCTTTGAGTCGTGGGGAGAGCTGAATGTAATTTCTGGGTGGGTGGAGGGGAAACCCCACCTTACTGGTCAGGAAAAAGTTGTGGTTCTTTGTTTTTATTCTTTCCTCTTTGCTGAGAGATTCCATGCACATTTTATTCCTTCATCTTGCACAGTCATAGGGAATTGCATGTTTTGCTACACTATGGGACAAAAGTTTTTTGGAATTATTGTCCATCTTTTTGGATGATTTCTGTTATTATCTTCAAGTGCTGAGTCTTGTGACAAACTCACCTTAAGAAGTTCCATCTTTACTGTCTGCCCGTCATGAAAATAAACGCAATGTTCATATAATGGGTTTCCTTGAGACATCATTCATGAACAAAAACACTTAGTCATTTTGTTTATTGAAATATTTAAGGGTGTGACAAACATGGAAAAAGAATATTGTAGAGAGAGCCTACTCTAGTGTTGGCCCTTTGACCGCTACAAAAGGAAGAATCCCTCTCCTAATTATACAAAACTGACTTTCTGGAGTGACTGCACTCTGTGCTTTAACTAAACCCTCCTTAGACACCAACACTGGCTGCTCTCAGCTACTTTTTTGCGTTGTACTCGCCCAGCAACTGCAATTGCAATATTTGCTTTGTTAAAAGCTACCAGCTCTGCCTAGATCTTATACTGTGCATTTATGAACTTGTGCAAGGATTTGTCCAAATCCTTCTTAAACTTTTGAGATCTGCCTCCACAACCCTCTCCTGGGGCAATAATTGGAAGTTGGCTATCTGTCGGTTAAAACAGTGCTTCCTTCCATTTATTTGAAATTGATATTTTCCTGCTAGTTTCACTGTATAACACCTTGTCCCATTATTGTGGGATTTGATGAATGACACTTGCACCCATCTCACGCAACAGCACTGTGACTTTGTACAACATAATTGTATCCCTCAGCTTTTCCTCTCCAAACTGAGAAATCCCAGCCCTTTTTTATTTTTCTTTTCTTTCTTTTTCTTCTTCCCCCCCCCAATACCAACTTTAAAGCTCCTCTGAGACTGAAACGCCCATACTCAATAGAACAGGGCTGGCACAGTGAAGGCACAGCAGCTCCTGCAGTATCCTTGTAGACCTCATTTAAACCTCTTCTCCCAGCTGCTCCAATTCAGGCTCTCTTGCTTTGAAAAACAAAGTGGTCTTCTGAGAGGAGAACCGTGCTGTTTTTTGGTTGTCTGTGCACATCCCTGAAGCTGTCAGTAGCTTGGAGAGACACGCGTTGTTATCTTGGGAAGCAGGTCTTGCTGTTGCTGTATGTGCTGGTCACGTCAAAGTAATGCTTCAGCCATAACTTGCACATTTTCCCCTTGTTATTCTTGCACGTATAAACAGTACCACATTTTCCATCGATTTCAACTGCCACTCAAATTGTGAGTAATGGTGAATTAAACATTTGTAGGACAAGGGGTAATTTTGTGTGGCTATTTCAAATAATTTCTTCTAGCACACTTCATACTACAAAATGCCGTCTTGAAATCGGAGGGTCTTTCTGTGGAAATACTTTCATAACTTCCAAAGCATTAAATACAGACTTTATTAATGTTCAAAATTTACCATGTTATCACTTCTTGTTAAATAGGGAGATAAAATATTACCTTTAAAACAATATTCCACCGGCTGTCCAAGAAGGATGGAATGCTTTGTCATTTGTATTGATGTGTAAATGTGCTGCCTCCAAAAGCTTCCTCTAAACACTAAGTGTAGATTGCAGATTATAAGAGAAATATAATGTATGTCAAAGACTCTATTGTAGGGTTTTTTTATACAGGCTAATTAAATTGAATTTATAGGGCACAACTATTGAAGTCTTTCTATTTTTCTCTTAGGAATTTTTTTCAAGCAGCGTGTGATGTTCCTGAACCAGAGGAGAAATTTAATATTGATGAATACTCTGACATGGTGACCCTTAGCAAACCTGTCATATATATCTCCATTGAAGAAATCATCAATACCCATTCAGTAAGTCAATGAATACACCAGTCAGCAGACTAAAGAGTATAGATTACTTGCATCAAACAGTCTATGGGGAAGGCTTAGTGTTTGTTTTTCCTTTTAAAATAAGTTCTTCAGTTCATCTATGAAATGGCCTGGAATTGAGTATTAGATTGCATTTTTCCTAGAAGACTTCTTCCATTTAAAAGCATCATCTTGAATAACAATTAGAATATAACATTTTCTGGTAGGAGGGAGGAACGTTTTTTTTCTAAACTAGTGTGGGTGTTCTAACCAGTTTTTTTAATACTTAAAAATAACTTTCCTGTCTTGGCTAAGACAGTGACACCAATTTGAAAAAGTTTATTTGACTCTGGGAACAGATGAAAATTCAGTGTATTTCATGACTGGCATTCCGTCGTATGTTTTGTTGGAAGCAGATGCAAAAGCCTGATTTAGAAGGACAGAAGCTGCGGCATCCTGTTGTTTGTTATCGTGGGTAAAGTACAGATTAACTGCAGTTTGTAGTTATGACTCATTGTGGTGTAAGTTAAATGGTCCACATGGTCCTCCTGAAGTTGGGATACTACTATCTGTTTCCTGGCTTGCAAACTGTCCCCTACACTCCATGCTGCCCCTTCCCCTCAAAAAAATGCACCCCAGGAAACAAACGCCTCCCAAAAAAGCTCACAACGAACCTCCCACTAATATTGTCAGATGCACTATGGAAAAGGGATAGAATACCCAACTGTCAGTAGGCCACATCACAAGTTTAGCTTTATGCAAGTGAAAACTATAATAGCCTAGTCTCCTAAAAGCATATTTTCTGGATTGCATTGTGCCTATTTTTAATTTTTTTAAGGCATAGACCTATGCCTGCATGTTTATAATCAGTGGTTATATTTAAACATTGGTCTTCGTGAAATATTCCTTTTGGTGGGTCTGTTCCATGTCTAATATGTTAACTGATCCTAATGTGACAAAGTATTACTATGCAATTTTATATTAGCTGATAAAATACTCCACAAAATCTGAAGTAATTTAGTGACAGTAAATTGCCAAACAAAGGAGGTCAAGGAGATGGTTTGTTTTGATAACATGACTATGCACTCTTGTCTGCATGGAGGAAGCAAGCAATTATGTCTTAGGACTGTACATTATCTGTGTACAGCATATTTACCAGGTGATGCTCCTTGTCCCATGCTAACTCATCCACCAAACCTTCTGTGTCATCTCCCTTGGCACTTGCCTAAGCTTGATTTTCACTGCACATCTCTAGGATGTAGCTGGAATGAGGCACCTGTTGTATTCATCAGCTTTGGTTTTTGGTGCTTTTCCATGTATCTCTTGCCTTCCCTTCAAAGAATTTGTCCTGTGAATGTATTTTTCATTCTGTACTTGTATAGCATGAAGCAGTGTGGAGATTTCATCCGTACATAGTCTTTCTCAGCAGTTCTCACAGTGTCATAGTCAACATTATGTGCCGTAAGGGGTAGCTGCTACATGTAAGAGAAGCTTTTTTTTAAACAAATTAATGGTTATGAGCTTATAATCCTCACTTCTGTCTTGTAAGTATGTCTGAAATACCTTTCTTTTCTGAATATGGGCTTTTTAGTTGTCAGTAAATCTCTAGTAACCAGTAACTTTTGACTGGCTATGTATAACGTTGCATTGGAAATACTTAGAATCCTGGAATTTCTGCCTACTGTGCATGATTTGCTGTAGCTAAATTTCAGTGAAGCTTGGTGACATGATGTCTTCCCATTGGTCCTCCAAGTAAGGAATATTGTGGGGAAGGGACTGTTGAATCTAGTAGTCTCTAATGCTGCTGGCTCTAACTCAGCATGAGGTTACTTTTCTCACAGATAGTGAGAGCTGTTTTCAAGGAAACGTTACTGCCTTATTCATGCTCTCTATTAACTTGGCTTATGAGTATTTCTGTGGCTTAAAGATTTGAGAATGTTCCCAGGTGTGAGAAAAGTTATTGCGAATACGTTCACACATCTCCTGCAACATCTATGCTATTGTAAGCTACGGGAATGAATATGCTGAAAATAGGTATCTTTCTGTGGACCACCAACTCTGTCTTCATTCTCTTGTGTGCTGAAGTTCAGGGTGCAGCACTGAAACACTCTGCTGGGGATTATCACCTTTTACTCTGCTATGTTGTTAGCTCTAAAGGCAAATCTTAAAATTCTGCTCAGCTGTGGTGTTCAGCACTCTGGAGACAATTGCTGGAGGAGCATGGCAAGCTGCCTCACAGGAAAAGCAATTCTAAACTTGTAAACCAGAACTGAGCGTGCGTTCCCCTTTGGGTCCTCCATAATCCTGACCACACTAGGTCTGTGTTTTTCAGCATTTAGTCTCCAGATTTTTTCACAAGTATAAAGACAATGGGATTTTTTTGTTGTTGGGTTTTTTTTTTTTTTGATGATGACTTCATTTCTGTTTGTTTATAGCTACTGTTAGAACACCAGGATGCCATTGCCACCGAGCCAAATGACCTACTGAATGAATTGCTGGAAGGACTGGGACCCGTTCCTGATGTAGAGTCTTTCCTTGGTATGCTGTTCTTTGTCTTTATAGTTAACTTCACTCTAGGGACAGAATTAAATGGGTGCTTGATTTAAATACTCTCGTGTCTCTCATAGTGACCACTTCTTCATTTGCTATAGAATTCTGTTCTAAATCCTTTTTGTAACATGGCTCCTTAAAACTGAACCTTCTTCTAACTGCAATACTCACCCTGAAGATTAACGATGTGATTCAAATTCCAAACATTAATAATGTTTTGAGCAGAATGATCCAGTTGTGCTCAAACTGCAGATAGAAAACAAGTGACATTTAATAATCTGATCTCAAGACTTACTGGTGTTGGCAAAAAACTTAGAAAAAGTGCATGCAGAATTCTTGAAACAGCCATTGGATAATTATCCAAATAAAAAATGAAGTTTTAAATTCTGCAAATTTACTAGAAAGTTACAAGGAATAAATAATTGTGACTGCCAATTTGCCTTAACTGTAGTAAGATGTCAGCTGTTTAGAAAAGTAGCATGGGTGTTATGGGTTATGCCAGCTTCCAAGTGATTAGTCTGTTAACGTAACTGTTACTCTTTCATTTTTCATTATCACTCTATGTTAGGACAAAGGATGTTAATTTGTTTGTGGTGTTCTTTGAGAATAAGAAATGTGAGCCTCTTGCATGAAAAGCAAGAATTGGTGGCATGTCCGAAATTTCGAACTAGCCTTAAATAGCTGGCTCTTATGGTTTTGATTGTTTAATATCTAAAAAAAAGACTGCTTCTTAAATGGTCGGAAGGAGTGGGTGTGCTATTTGATAAACTTAATATTTCTGCAGTTATACTGTGATTTATCTAGGTTTTTGTTTGCTTTGTGCATTGAATCATGGGTAAGTTGGCAAACTTGAAGTGAAATATGTTTCCATACAGGGGAAGGAGCTGTTGATCCCAATGACCCCAACAGGGAAAGCACACTGAATCAACTTGCAAAAACGGAGATTTCGCTGTCTCTAACCAGCAAGTATGAGTTACGAGAAGGTGAAGATCAGGATCTCAAAAGCCTGATGATAAAGTAAGTTTTGCTCAAAAACCTGTATTTTGGCAATGTTTTCTGGGGTTTTCTTTTTGGGGTTTTTTTTTCTAATGTTGCTCCCACCTTCCTGCCCTGCCTAAGTGCATTTCTGAGGTGCTGAGCGCACTGTTTTCAAAAGCCAGTTTCTGTTCGGTCCTACTCAAACTTTTGCTAAAGACTGAGAAACTGTCGATTCTGGCAGCTTATAGGATAAATTTACTGTGTTTTGGGCCCTGACGAGTTCATTATCTAACCTAATAAGTGCTTTTACATAACGTTGCAAAAGCGTTCTGCTTGAAAACACCACGTCCTTGGAGAAGCAGAGATGAAAAACTCTCCAGCCTTTTAAGGGATGGAGAGCATCACACTGTCCTCTCATCCCCCTCAAAGGAAAACACTTCCCTGATGTACTGCGATCAGGCCTTCAAACAGGATGTGACTGTCACTTCAGAAAGTGCAAGCTTTTATCCAGGGAAAGAAAATGGTGTTTATTCTATTTGGTGACCAAACAGAATAAATTGCTACTAGGATACCCTAGGACCTAGGCTACTCAGTAGTTTAAAATACTTTTATAAAAGCACTTAGCATCTAATCTTTGGCATCTCTTTTTTGAAGCTATGCCAAGCTGTCCAGAATATGGATTGGCTTATTTAGGATCCTGCTGCTTCTCAAACTAGGGGCAGAATGGAATCCTGCTCCGATTGCTATGCTTATATTTACTCCAAAGTGTGAAGTCCACTTCAAAGGGAAATACAGCATAAGAATTTTACACCTTTGTAAGCACTAGAAGTGTAGATACAGGCTGTAATTCAACTCTAGTATTATTTTTTCCAAATCAAAAATCAGTAAACTGAATCTTTTAGGTAATATGTGAAGTTTTACTTCTGAAGAAAGTTCTTGGCTGTAAGATCTGTAGTAAATAGTGCAATTTCTATAAAGGCCATAAATGAATGCTTAAATTCTGCGAGGAAAAATGCTTTAAGTTCAAGAAAGCTCTTGCTAGTTATCCTAAAAGGAAGAGGAATTTTCAGCTGTAATTGCGTAATTTGATCTGAATCTTCAGCAAGAAATCATGGAGGTTTTTTCTGTAACTTGAGATCTAAAGTAAAGGGACGGCAATGACAATGCCAAATTGAAACTGTTAGTCGCTTGGTATTCCAGAGACCAAGGCTCTAGAGCTGTTCCCAGGCTGGTGTTGTAATAAGGATATGTGTGCTGCTGTCCCTTTTTTAAGAAAAAAAAAAGTACTTCCTGTCCTTTTTCCTCTTTGTAGGAGTCAAATGCTACCCCTTAACGGAATCCTTAAAAAATGCAGAATCAAGGCCAAAAGAAAATTTTTTTTTTAATCCTCCACACTGTGTGGAAATATGTTGAAATAATATCATAAGAATTAATGAAAGAATGTAACTTCTCTGTTGCATAAGCTTTTTCAAGTAATATTTCTCATATTTTGAGGAAATTTTGTAAAAGATCTGACAGAAGAAAGATTAAGAATGTGCATTAAATTGTAAAAATATCAAAAGTTTAAATACTTCAACTTTTACGTCAGAGATGTAAATACAGATGCTTAGCTTTCCTGCCTTAGCTGCTGAGAAGTGTTTTACCCCAACTGTGAAGTGTTAGGCACTGGGCTAAAGTTCATGTCACGGTTGGTTCATTGAGTGTTGCTTGTTTCTCGGAGTGACATGCCCCTTCTAAGAAATACCCGTGTATTTGTGTGTGAAGTTGTTTCATTAAGGCTTCTGTGGTGAGGCAGTACCCCTGTCTAGGAGGACTTTATGGCATGCATCCATGGTTTGGGTGCATAGGTGCCCCGTGACAAGTGGCAGGTGAAGGGGGACATGTCCAGCCCCAGGTCGGGTGTTTCTGGAAAACAGCAGTGCTGAGCAGGCTTGGGACATGGGGTGAGGAAGTGGAAATAAGCCTCGTGTCTTATCAGCCGTATCAGCACCCTTTCTAAGGCAGTGCAAAAAACCGATAATGCCGTCCCACATTTGTTGCTGCAGACTGTGGTGGTGACCGCCAAAGACTGACAAAGGCTGTGTCAGGCAAAGCCAGCAAAGTGTGGGCGTAGCCCAAGTGAATCAATGTTAGGGAACCTTTCTGTTTGGTGGGGTTTTTTGGGTGGGTTGGTTGTTTTTTTTCCTGGCAAACTGGAGGGGATTCCAAGGGAGTTGGTGAAGGCGCAGTCCTTCTGAAGCTGCTGGATGTGCTAGAACTGGTCAGTGCAGTTAATAGCAGTTCTGGATGCGCAAACTGGTTTCCAGGAGGTTTAGCAGGCTGCCTTATAACACGGAAGGAGCAGTGCTTCAAGTCTGCCTGTGCTGTCAGTCGTTCCTACCTTGCTGCCCCTTCCATAGAAGCTTGGATCATACCCAAAACCAGTTGTTTCAGCTAGTGCTACCTGTATATGAGTAAATATTTTGTCCCATTTCCTTGCATTCTTATGAGAACTTCTGGTCCTGAAAACACCAATAGAAACACCAACTTTATGTATGTAAACTATAATTTTAAACCAAATCACCAGGTTTCATCACGGAAGCCTTGGTCGTATTCAGACATTTTCTTTGGAAACTTAAGCTGCATCTTCAGGTTTCCATTAATTTTTTAAAACAAAGAGCTCTATCTCTTTTGTAACCAGGTCTTCTACATAAACAGGATTCTGTAGCAGGATGTTCTTGGAAGTATTATGCATGAAGAGGCAGCAGGAAGAGATAAATTCTTACAAAAAATAACTGGTTTACATAACAGTGTAGCAGCTACCCTTTTTTAGCAAGGAAATGCTCCTTGTCTGTTTGCCACGGAAACATCTACCCTTAAGTGGTGTGCGTAAGTACACTGCATGGGATGTAAAATTCCTTCAGAAGTTCAGCAGTTTTGAGTGCATTTCCACTTTATTCCGTAAACATGACCCTTTAGCTAACTGTTTCCTAAAATAAAAGGGGGCAGGTATGCATGTATTTCTCTGTTCAGGCCTATGTAGAAGGTAGATGTTCAACGTTATTTATGGAAGTTCTGAAATGTAAAATGCTGGGAAACATAAACATTTTCAAGTATCCATAATAAATAGGGAGCTTTCTAGTTTTATTGTTGAACAAATTAAATGCACAAGTGATCAGTGACAACTGTTTTGTAATATCCATATATCCTTTTGAAAAGGACCAAAAGACTTATTGTGGATGTGATACGAACACAACCAGGGGATACACTCTTAGAAATATTAGAAACACCACCCACCGCACAACAGGTAAGTGCTGTACTGTGCCTGCATAGAGAAGAAAGTACGTATTTTATTAAAGCTATTTGAAAGTCTTAACAGATTTCTGACAGCTTTCTTCACTACTTTACACCAAAGAAATCATTGTTGCTGTTTTTTAGACTCTTTGAATCCAGAGCTTTCAAAATATGAGACTTGTAAACTTCCCTTTACTGTAAAATTGTAACAGCTTCAGAAGCAAAGAAAAATTAAGTCTTGCTGTCAACTAGCACATTTATACTAATATTTTTTCTTTACATTTTTTGTAAGCAGGGCCTTTTTCTCCTATGTTATAATACAGTCAAATAGCCTGAGGTGAAATCTTCTGCTAGATTTTTTTTTCTTATGAAGCTGAGTATCTTAACTCAAGTTCCCTGATACCTAGTTTATTTGCTTAAGCAATAAAAGCAAACATCTGCCTGAGGAACTGCTGCTATCCTTGTTATGGGAATTGTGTGGGAAGAGCTCCTAGCTGAAGACTTCCCTGTACATACTGACAGACAAAAGGTCTACGTCAATAATATGCACATTTTAGCTTACTTTAATGTGTGCATATATAGAGGATGCCTGAGAGTTCTGGACAGTCTTTCTATAACTAAGTGAAGTCATTGAGTTGTCTGACTGATTTTAAATATTCTTTAAGTGTCTAGGTGTTGTGATTAGTTATGTAAGGTATGCCAAAAGGCATAGTAAATGCAGCACTTTCAGCTTGCAACTTGATTTTTGATAATCTCCTTTGAAAGTTGAATGTATGTGCATACTTAACTGTTATCATGAGGTGGAAAATAACTGTTCTAGATGTTTGTTTTACCTAGGAATCTGAGCACTTGAAACTTGTAGAAAAACGTGCTATCTTAGATTCCAAAACTCCAGAGAAAATGAAGAACAGTCAGTCTATTGTTGAAGATGGGCAGCTACCAATAGAACAAAAGAAAAGGAAAATTCAGAGAAATCTCCGGACATTGGAGCAAGCAGGACTAGTGTCTTCAGCAACTAAGTACCAAGAAATTATAAATGAGATCGCTAAGGTAAATGGAACATGCTTCCCTGTATATTGATGGGTTTTAGGCATCTACCCTAAATCTATTCCATCTAGAGTGGTATAGTATACACTTTCAAGAGAATGCTGAAGCATCCACATAAGGGCAAAATCATATTTGTTCACTGGCAGACTAAGCGAAAGGCAGTACTCTCACGCATAACTACCTGAACTGAGTAACATACAACTGTAGACTTCGTTACCCAGATTTGATACTGATGCTGTTTTAACTTCTCCAGTACAGCTTTTTGTATTTTATAAGGAATCAGAATTACCCATCAGTGTTTCAATTAATAACTAATGTCATCTTGCTAAGGTTTAAAAAGACTTAAAATTCAAAACATTCTCTGATTGGTATTAACACTGATCTGCAGTGGTGGGGCTGGACACAAAGAGAAAGTGGGCCACTGTGGCGCCCATCCTGGGATTGATAAAGCACCTGGCATGTTCTGTACAAATCAACAAATTCTGTTCCAAATCCATACCCAATACTGGCTGTAAGAATCTTAGTGTATTGGATTACCTTTAGTTACCCATGAATAATATTGGATTGTCGTTAATTACTCATGAGTAAATTACTCATACCCCACAAGTGACTTACATATTATAAATATTTTTTTTAAAGTTGAAAGTATATTTGAATATGTAAATGAGTGAATTACTCACATTAGCTTAAGTCTCTAATATAATTGTGTCGTGTTGCACCTACTCTGAAGTGCAATTTTAAAGCTCTGCTCAGTTCAGGTGTCTGCATCTGCTTCTACTTGAGACAAAACCATGCTACATATGGATTCAGTGCCCCATTCTTTCTTATTTCTTATTTCTATAAGATCAGGTGCTTTGTTTTGAGCCATTAAGGCAACCTGAAGATTGGGATGAGCCTTAGGGCTGGAAGTTGCTTTTATTTTATTTTTGACTACCTCAACTCAACTATTACCTTCAACCCAAGCTCTGCTTTAGCAGTAGCTAGTTCTTACCTAGTGGAAGCCTGAGCTGTCATTTTTTAGGCCTCTCACCAAAAACTAGCTGTGAGAGAGCTTCCATTTAGAGCATGAAGATGACCTCTTCCTTACAACTCTTGTGTCTGTCAGTGCCCAGGAGACCGTAGCAGAGTTCAAGATACTGCCACCTGTATATGTGAGTAGCAATGTGTTGCAGTCTTCTGTACAGTCACGTAAACTGTACAACTCGTGACTGATGCCGTGCTTGTGGGAACTTGGCAGTTCACGCTTTCTCCCAGAAATTGTCAGGTTGTGTGATTACAGATTTCAATGCTAATAAGCTGAGACTCTTTAAAATATCAAATTAATAAATCTGTTACGTTAATAAATTTGTTTAGGATATCCGGAATCAAAGAAGATACAGACATCATCGAAAAGCGGAATTGGTGAAACTCCAGCAGACTTTGAATGCACTTAACTCCAAGACAGCGTTTTATGAAGAACAAATTAATTATTACAACACCTATATAAAAACTTGCTTAGACAACTTAACAAGAAAGTGAGTTGAGTCTTCTTGTCTTAATATTTCAGTGTGTTTTATCAGAAGGAGAGCAGGTGGTTAACTTGTAGTTGAAAGTTTTAATTCCAATAGACTGAAAATCCATGGATTAAAAAGCCCATGGGAGTTGTCACTGAGTCAAAACCTGTAAAGTTTTGATTTTTTTAGAAAGACTCCTGAGATGTATACGTGTCTTCAATATACTTAATTAGTGCTATTTTGTAGATCCATTAAATGCTTTGAAGTCATGCTGCATTAGGAAGTAATTATTGATTTTCTTCCTTCATTAAAAGGATTGGGTTTTGCCTTTAGAATGGAGAACAGGGAAGTAGATGCCTAAAGAATTTTACTCCACAGGCATGATGCAGTTACTTGAGAGCAAGCCCGCTGCCAGTGCCACTGAAGAGTCAAGATGAACACGTTTTACTGACACGAACAAGAGCTTTCCCAGCGCATACCTCATTTATCCAAAAATGAATATTAATGGCCAATCCTAAATCTAACACCTATGTCAATGTATGCTTACAAAATTGCCATTCTAAAGTTATGATTGTCGACTCTCTTGGATCAGGGTTGCATTTCACAATAGAGTTTTAAAAAGTGGAAAAAAGTTGATTCAGAATCATTGCCAAAATGTTCAGACTATTCATTCTGTGCTAAAAATGCCTCTAATTCTTAGGTTTGTGTTGAATGTTAATTCTGCTCATTAATAGTTCAAGAAGGCAAAGAGTGAAGGAAAGCTAAGTATGGCTGGAGGAGTGATTGAAGTATAAAAGACCTGGTAGATAAATCAAAAGCCATTTTTCTTGTTTTCTTCCCAGAAATTCACGGAGGTCAATTAAACTAGATGGAAAAGAGGAGGTGAAGGGAAGCAAAAAACTGAAGCAGTCCTCATTAAAGTACACAGCTGCAAGACTGCATGAAAAAGGTGTCATCCTTGAAATTGAAGATCTTCAAACCAACCAGTAAGTGTGGTATTAAAGCAAAGCTATTTAGAGCATTTTCTAATCAACAGCTTCTTCAGGGACCTGGCCTCTGTTAAAAGAAATTTTCACAATTTCCTATGCCACACCTAAAATTACCTCAGACTTTTACATTTAGAAGAAGGATAAAGCCTATTTGTAATAATTCATCTTTTTCCTTTTACCTTGCTATATGAATACCTTGGGAAAATATGTGAATAGGCCTATTTTGGCATTGGCTTAGATGGAACTAGTACCAAGTCCAGCAAAAAAAAACAGGAATGCTGACTTATTAAGCAGTAGTAATTTTTTTGCATTTACTGACCAATCACTTTCATATAACTGAGTAAACAACTGGTTTTCTTTATTTCCTCACTATGATGAGGTGAATGGGCATGGTGATTTCATATCCTTTTTGTATCTACCCGTTTTGAAGCCACTGTAGTGAAAATCTTCCATCCTCTGCACACTTCCATCTGTCTTCTGCCCGGAAAAGTTTTCCAGGTTGCAGGGGTTTTTTTTCCCAAGTGGGTAGTTGAGGCAGGGGAAGCCACGTGAGGCAAACTGAAACCAGAGAGGAGCACGTACACACCTGCAAGGAGACACTCGGGCATGGCAGAGCAATAGTCTGGCTGCCCTATTCCTATGCCGTGGATACTTGGTCATCTCTGTTCCCTGAACTTCCCACAGCCTGATTTTTTTTTTTTTTTTTTCCCCCCAATTTGAAAGCCTTGAGGGGTCTGTATTTCCATACTATATGTACACCAGAAAGTATCCTAGAAAGCCCTCCATAGGGATAGAGGGGTGCATCTGACACTATTTACACTGCTTACAGTCAAAGTTCTTATGTGTTCTGAAGGTTTTTTACCCAAAACTGTCTGTGGACTACATAAAACTGCATGGCATACCTCATTAATGCATAACAAACCTTCTTTTTATTTCAAGGTTTAAGAACGTGATGTTTGATATTACACCTGGAGAAGAAGTGGGTGACTTTGAAATCAGAGCAAAATTTTTGGGGGTTGAAATGGAAAAAGTGCAGCTTCATTTCCAGGTAGACCTTGAATTTCATTACTTTGCTCTATAGTCACAGCTGCATTTCCTCTAAATACAAACTACTTCTGGGGTTTTTTTTAATATGTATTCATGAACTATTCAATCAGCACAAAGCAGTAGTTCAAGTGGGAATAACTATGTAACTTTCACAGAATGCTGGGCACTGAGGTGGGTTAATGTTTATGTTAGGGCAACTGCGTGAAACCAAATGCTGTATTAGTCAGTGGCAAGCAACAAATACCAAGAGAAAATGAAAATACCCAGAAACAGTATTCTTCTGGTTTGCTGTTACTAACAATTGGAATCTAGAAGACGCATAATGTTGTCTACACCTATCCAATAGTTGCTTGTAATTGTTTAAATTGTGATGGACCTGGTGTTCGAGATGGTTATCACATGATGAAAATAACCCCCATCCTGCTGCTGCAAGGTATGGATTCAAAGAGAGACTAATGATCTTATTTCTGATTACAGGATTTGCTTCAGATGCAGTACGAAGGTGTGGCTGTAATGAAAATGTTTGATAAAGCTAAAGTGAATGTGAATTTGCTCATCTTCTTGTTGAATAAGAAGTTCTATGGAAAATGAGTGTCTTCAGATGTCATGGACTATATCCAACAGTGGGAAGTCTATTCAGTATTCATTTCTCCTAAATATTTGTTTTCATTTTATCATTGGATGCTTTTTAACTTAAAAAAAAAAAAAAAAAACAAAACACCACCAAACCTAAACCACCAAATGTTCAGAGGAATGTACACAGTGCCTTTTCAGCATTAATAATGAATCAGAATAATTTAAACAGTCCCAAATCTCATTGGTGTTGGTACTTTCAAATCAAAGTATTGCTTAGGACACTCAGCTACTGTGGTTGTATGGATTTTAATGTAGGCAGAAATTGAATTTAGTTGAATATATAAACCACTTCCTATTAAAACATTTTAAAATGACCTCAGATAAATAATATAGTTCTAATTAGACTCCAAGTATTTACCAAAAGAAATCCTAACTTGCTTCTAAGGGATAGTCTGGGCAAATATTTAGTTACATGCTAAGCCTGTTTTCTGGCAGTTGTCAATTTTAAAGCAAACTTATTGTGCAATTCAAAAATTTTATAGGTAATTATAAAGTGACAATAACGTTTTACTGTACAAAAATATATTTTGTGATTCATTCCTACTAAATGCACTACTGCCTCATGTAAAATGACATTTTCTACTTTCACAGACTTTGGAGTGGCATTGGGGAATCTAAATAGTGAACAGTTGTTGTTCATTTTGAAGTATTTGAATACATAAATTGTGCCTGTCTCTTTTTTGTAAGAAAATAAATGCAATAAAATCAGTATTTAGATAGGGGGTTTTTTTTTAATATTCTTTGGAGATTGTTCTATGTGAAATAAATGTTACTTAATTAAACTGATTTGGTTGCTAAATTTCATTTAAAAGAATCATTAAAGCAGGAATCCAGATGGTAGTGAAAGAACTTCTTTCAGTGCTTTTAAAAAATGGAGTCTAATTAAGCTTGATTGCCCTCACAATACAGTTTGGGAAGGTTGCTGAGCAGTGAAGACTTCATGCCATGGAGCATGGTAGTAATTTTGCTGATGAACTACCAATTACACTTACAGAGGGAAAATGTGTACAGTAGGTAATGTGATAAATACATTAACCAAGAGAAAATATTTCTCTTGAAAACAGAAGCTCCTATGTGATTCCATTTTTTTTCTCCTAGCTAGTTACGTATGAGCCGTTTTAACATGTCACAACTTCTGCAGCATTAATACCCTGGTTCACTTAAGATAGCTGGATGGGAAGGTGAAAGCAACACTTCACTTCTACTTCCAAAGGAGAAAAATTAACTGTACCTGAATACGAATTAAACTCACATCCTGAGTTTCCCTTTTTGTTTGAAACAGACTTGACTAGCCCTTACATATTCTTGACAAATTCTAGCTGAGCAGGTAAGTCTGCACAGGTTCGGTGTTGATCCCAAGACTGGACTTTTCAGGTAATGTTTCAAAATCCTGGAGTTCTGCTGGTGAGACACACTAGAGCCCCACAGCCTCTGTGGGAGTAAGTCACTCCTGGATATGCTACTTTGTGTAATGCACTTGACGTATTTAGTGGCCGCTTAGTTCTAATGCAAACAGCATCTTCCTCAGCTATTTCCTGATATACACGAGCTTAGGAAAGTTTACTTGGTTTCTAGGTAATGACACATGTGAAAGGTACAGTCTCACTTTTTCCAGTGATTTCTTGGGCTTCTTGTTCTTCCAGTGCACATCAAAGTGTAATTTCCATTTTAATTTCTTTAAACTCCTTTAGAAGCCTTTCTCTTAATTAACTAGTTTAGGTCCTTGACACTGAACAAACAATGAACCCTGCTAAGCAGGACTGACCACAATGATTCCTACCTAAATATAGGATAGACGGTAGTAACAAGTACCATGCAAATTAGCAAGTAATTCTGTGCCTGCCCACTTCTGTCCTGTGCTGCTGACGGCTACTAAATACAACACAAAAAGAAAGGCTGTTTGGAGGCTGATGTAAGCTGCAATCTGGGGTTTTCAAAGTTAGACCGGACTTGAGGAAACCAGCTTCATTCATGTAATGGTTTTGTGGAAAGACTTGCATTGCTGGTGCAAAACCTGAGGAAAAAGGAAGTACAGCTTTACAAAGCCTGTGCTTCAGTGGTCACCACAGCAGAAAATGCGTCTTTCTTTGAAAGACGTGCCTGTCTCTAAACTTTGTCTTCCTTAACTGGCAGTAGTGAAAAAAAAATTGTAATAGCCGATAGTCTTAGTCTGTTAGCCCCGCAGTTTGCATTTTTTTCTACCACGCATCTTCAGAGTTGACTAACAGTTCTTGGCAACTAACAGTTTATTTTGGAACTTGTGTGTTCTGAAGGGGCTCTGAAGGCCCAAAACTAAATACAAAATTGCAGAACAACATCCTCTTTCTTTGGCCAAGCAGACAAACACTATCACAAGCGATATCTTTTTCCTGTTCCGCTTCGCACTTATCGGCAAGCCACCTTCTTTCCTCCTTATTTAGCTGTCTTTTTTAAAAAGAATACTGGAGCAACACTACACACTGGCCTCTAACAGCACCTCCAAACAGTGAGAGTCATGTCTGATTTCAAAAAGTGCGTAACTAGATAATCAACCCTCTTCCTGGAGAACTGATTTTTGACTGAGATATGCTTCTAACCTCCTCTTCTTTGAGCAGTAACCATGCACCTGGGTAATCTCTGTGTTAAACATCAGAAAATGGCTCCTTTGTGGAACAGTAAGGATGTAGTAGTCTTACTAGATAGCTGTAGGCTTTTTTGACAGATCTGCTGTGTTTAACAGGAATGAAGTTTTGCCCTGTAGCATGATTCTGCCAAAAAACAAAGCTCTGAAAAAGGTGCAGGAAGTAGAATGAAAAAGTAGTAACAGGTAAAAGCTTTAGAAGTCATGAATTCATGTCTGTTAATCAGTTTATCTAGAAAGAAAGTAGCTGGCATAACCACAGGGTACAAAAATCAACTTAAATTTGGTTCCCATATGCAAACAGAAAATTTAAGAAAAGCGTTGGGTTGGTTCTTTTATTCACTTGCTATATTTATAGTAATCTAACTTAGAGAGATGAAAGGACGTAGCCCTATGACTATCCTTTATATCCCCAACTAAGGTACTCCCTAAAGACACAATCTGAGTTCTCCTTCCTATCTTTTGCAAACTCTGTAGACTGGTTTGCCCCTGAAGCACTGACCCACTTGTTAAGACTTCCCAAACCATAAGAAATACAAATACTAAAAAATGTATGCTTTTCCAAGGTCTGGTATAACATTCACAAATACGCTTTTATTTTAAGAAAGACTGATACTTAGCTCACTTCTATATGAGGTTTAGAAATTTTTAAGTGTTACCTTTGGTTATGCTGACAGAGCAGCAAGGCCCC